ACAAATGTCTTTCGCAGGCACCAGTCGGTTTATGAGCAGAAGAGCAGAGGCAAACAATTTGGAGACGTTGATGTGCAGACTCACTTCTCTATGATTGCCGCATTATGGACGTGAGCTTTCGTTGGAAACAGGATCAACACGGTGCATCTCTAGTGGGATGAAACAGTTTCCTATTTCCACAGTTCCACCAATGGATTGCACAAATCGTCTCCCAGAGCTTCTCCTCTGAATTCGAAGAACGCTGAAGGATGCTCATCTGATCCTGTGGCTTCCTACAACGTTATCCGTCCGTTGGATTTCTGCACGAGAGGGCGGATTCCACAGAACGGTTCAAAGAGCACAGTGCTCAATTACAGCCAAGCAATCTGACAATTCTTGCTGAGAACCTTGCTATTCAAACCGTGCAACTTAACACTCCAAGCACTTTGACAAGCTGTGGACAGGCTGTCCCTCACTAACACTAGATCTCCTTCCGCCTGTTTCCTGTAAGAGATTGTAATTTGCGATGGGTACTAAAGACAGTGATCCTTTCCAACTCAAACGCACCATGAGTCTACCAGGATTCGCAGTCTCATCAGGCTAATACGGTATTGCGCGTGCGAGTCTCATCGTATTTCTTTTCTATCAGAATGTATCGGCAAGCACCGAGAAGTTGCAGAATCTGTGTAGGGCGTTTGGTAGTTCATTGTAGTGTTTTGGAGTACTCACCATGTGATTGGACTTCGGTACACATTCAAGTCTTCTACTTGACGAGTCTAGACAAGGACGAGAGCAGTCGTGGAGTGCATTGTTGAGGGAAATGCGAACCACTCCGAAACTTTCCACTTCGAATGCTGCTTTGTGAGGCGGACTCTTTCTAACCACTGTTGCCTTTATAACTTGAACTTATTAGATTAAGGGTACTTAAGCCCACCGTATGAGGTTTGCTGAGATTATTTTCAATGCTACAGTGGAATTCTTTTTGCGCTCTAACCATCTGCACTGACCAGATCACATCCTTCGCATGTGTATTGTCTGACCTCATCTATACTTATTTGTCAATACTACAATTACTGACTCATGGCCGAAAGGATCACACACACCTGTCTTGTAATCCGGAGATGGCGGGCTCGAGCCTGCGTAGGGGATCCGATGACCCTCGCAGTATTCTTAGCTCATGCGCGATTGTTGGTGGTTGCATGGCAACGAAGCGCCGATACTCAGTATGGCGTCGTGATGATACTTTTTCCAATACTACAAATCAGGCGACAGATTGACGAAACATCCATGACACATTCAATATATCATCAAAAGATCTAATCGATTAGGCACTCGTTCTCTTCTTGGATCGGTCTCTTTAGATTGTCCATTGGTTAGATACTTTGTCCGATGTGTCGTCACTTACTCTCTCGCCTTCGTTCTCTGACTTCTGATGCTATCCACTCATTGGGTCATCCTAATCTTTCCTTTTCTTCATTTCTTGCATTGGTATGCTTCTCTCTTACACTTTCCCTTTTCGTACTACTCACATTACTCCTACTTTCAACATGATCAATGAATCTACCGCGCATAAGTGCACGGCGCCAAGTTTATCATCTCTTCTGCACCAGTATACACAAATCCGTGTTGAGAGAAAGACATCGTGGCACTCGTTCACCTTCACTTAAGTGATAGTGCTGAGTGCAATCAAGCGTGATTCGCTCGTTTTACTAGCGGCTTCACATGGGTACTGTTGCCCGACGTATCCATGCTGTTCTGCCTTCTGCAGATTCAGCCGCAAAACAAATTACTCATGTACCATCACTAACCCATCAGGCACCTCGGTCAAATCCACTACGTTCCTACACATCGTCCTGCCTTTGTAGAAGCGTTTCTGACCGCTTACACTGTAACCTCTTCATTCCTGAAGAGCTTCTGCAGAGTGATCCCTCGTTGAATTTTGTGGGTTCCGACTTCGTAATCCCTTGGGATCACACTCAGCTAATGTGTCAACACGTTTGAATAAACTGACTCGACATATGATTTCGGGGTGCATTTCCGACGTCGCATTGAGCCAGTGCCGATTTTTGTAACTACCGAGCTAATCAATTCACCTACTTAGACAGAAGTGTCATACTTGTTGGTCAACTCCTTTGTTGCTATTGTGTGCAACACCCAACCTATTGAAGTATTTGAGCTCGGCGTAGTTCATCTATGCTCTGTGTATGAAAACACAGTAGATTCAGTTTTCTTTCTCCTTTTCCATGGGGTTAGCGAGTGTAAAAGGATGTGAATGAGAATATGCCATTTTGGTTTACTAGACTACCGACAAACTTGTGTTGCGCTCATCAAACAGAAGTGTCAATAAGCTTTAGTAAAGGCTGGATACAGCAGCACCTTTGTGATTGAAGTGTCCAATCGGAATGAACGAAATGAAACAAACAATCCGTTGGGTGGCGAGCCCAAAGAGTTCGTCGATTGGACTCATCAGGATGTATTGCTTAGCAATTAGAAATGCTCGCTAGTGAATCTGATTTCAAAAGCGGTGACCCACGCAATGTTAGAGTCGAAATATCTCCTAACACTGGCACAACACGGCTTCATGAAGGGCCGCTCGTACATCATCAACCTGCTCTAGACGCGGCAAGAACGGTTGCAAGTGTTGAACTTGGGGTAATCGGTGGATGTTATCTACATTAATTTCAGTAAAGTTTTCGATAAGCTGAACCATGAGGTCCTGCTTCACAAGCTGCGGATGTGTGGTGTTGGTGGCGCACTGCACCAGTGGATCAGTGACTTCCTTATTGGGAGAAGATGGTGGGTTCACGTGGATGACCCCCTAACGGACAGGTACCCTAAGGCACAGTGCTGGGGCCAATGTTATTCCTGATCCGCATACACGAAGTGCCTCAGCTTCTTCGGTCGCCTTGTACACTGTTTGCAGACGACGTGAAGATTTGGAGGGTTATTGATTCTCCCGACGACTATGACGTCCTTCAGCAGGACCTCGACCGCCTATCCCGGTTGTCTGCAGAAGTTGACCTACCGGTCAACCCGGCCAAGTCCTCCTTTATGAGCATGGGGAGGGATAGTAATGGGCATGCGTACACCCTGGCCGGTCACCCACTGCATCCCATCAGTTCCGTAAAGGATCTAGGCGTACTCTCACTGTGATCTGAAGTCTGTCGACAACGTGAACAGACTGTACGCAAACGGACTACGCCTGGTTTGGGCTCTTCGACGCAGCTTCTGCACGGTCTGAAAAGATTGCCACTCGTCTGTTCTCTTCCATGATAAGAACGGTGCTTAAGTACGGCTCAACGGTCTATTGTCCGATCACAATAGGTGAAGTGTAGAGACTGGAACGTGTAAAGCATGTAGCTACCCGGCTCATCTCCAGTTTACGGGGTGTCGTACGAGGATCGATGTAGGAGACTAGGGCTTCTTACCCTGTCATATCGTCGGCTTCGAGTTGCTATCATTATGACGCACCAGATACTGCACGTGGACCACTTCACTATGTTGAAGCCACTGCTGCACGTTCGCGCACCAAGCAGCACATGCGGACAACGGTACAAAGTAGTGGTACCGGATTTAAAGCGCATCGCTCACCCTATATGCTTCGAGTGTCGAGTGGCGAAATATTGGAACAAATTGCCGGAGACGCTAGTCGAGGCGAAATCGGTGTCCGAATTTAAGAGATTCCTCGATGCCCACTTTGCCGACTACATTTATAGGGAGCGCATTGCACCCGGATAAGATGCAGTGTAGCTGCAATATGCTACCATCATGCAGGAATCAGCAACGTGATTCCCCATCTGTGCTCGATCCACCTACGATGGAGCAACACAAATTTTTATCTTCTCGCTCTCCATTCTCCGTATTCAGTATTCACCTGTCTACGCGGTTCTGCTGATTGGTTTATATTTGTTGGCGCTGCGTCATTTGTTTCACCTAGTCGAAGGCTGAACCTCATCCGTCCGAAGATTTCATTTGTAATGGAAACGGACCAACAACCTATATCGAACCGAGTTGCAGCTCAAACTTATCATCATTTCGCTTGTCTTTACTGGATAAGTCGTTTTTATCTAAAGGATTGACTTTTAATGACGCCACTGACATCCTGTTCATGCGACATCAGCTTAAGTTTCTAGCCATTGGGATAGTCAATCTTGACCCCGTCATCCGGGAAGACGACATGGCGCCTATTTAGTCCTCCATTTTTTCAGGATGACGAATAGCATTGTTAAGCTGCGTATAGCGAACTTTCGAATTGAACCTTTCAAGGTCCACTTCACACAAATCACTGTTCGTTGTGAGGCCTCTTCGCCTGGACTGTCTTCCCAGACATTGGCTTCTGTAGTTCCGACTTTTCGAACGGGTGCGCAGTACCTTTTTGTGCCAGACCTATTCAGTAAGGACTATTGAAAGATCGAATTGGCCGAAAATCTCGTGTCTTATAATCTCCCCGAGTGAATGTGCTTTTCGGATATTCAGTTACCACCATGTTAGACCTTGTATTGAGTAATTTTACCTATAACTCTCGTACCTATGTGTCTATTCGACCCATAATCCATGGGCGCAGCTTCGAGCCTGCATAAGGACCGAGCGACCTTTGCAATATTCTTAGTTCACGTGCGACTGGTGGTGGTTGTGCGGCAGCGGAACGTCGTTGCTGCGTACCGACGTACTGCTGATGCCTCTATTCTATGAAATGCTGCTTGCTCATTGAATATCCATGGGGTCAGGCCAAGTTCTTTGATGATAATCGTTTACTTTTTCTTGCTTGTCTCATCGTCCCATTCACGATTTTTCATCAACCTGTGGTTCTTTAAATAGACAACACTGCCTGTTTGATTTAGGTGACCCTTCTTTCTCTGTTTTATGGGTGACCATTAGAGTAGATTTAGTTTACTTGCATCCAGCTGAACAATGATTATTTTTTCCAGAAAATGCTTTCCGTCTTGCCTTTCGCTCGCAGTCACTGATCCAGTTGATTCAATAATTCTATCTTTTTCCTCATTTTTATCTCGCTTGTCTAGCACCGCGGACTTTCAGGTGATCTGCAAGTCGGCAAACCGGTTCACGTGCTCCCCACCCCACAGCCTATCGACTTACCGCTGAGCAAAGAGGAAAGCGAACTCTTCTATCCATCCCACATTGCTTGTGGTAGAGCACATACGGTCATCGGCATGCAGCCTCGCACTGACTCTAGGTCGTTTGCTCTGGCTCGTCCCTTCCTACTCACCTTGGGCAACAATGCGTTGGGTCAGTGCGGTCGACAAGTAGAGGAGGATGAGATCTATGGGCCCGAAACCGCCGTAACTGGACGTATTCAACTCCCTGCGGAAGTGACTGGTTTGCAACAAGTATGTTTTCGTTTTGCTTTATATTTAACTTCTTTCTTATTGTGTTGCTGCAACTTCTGTTCGCTTGGATCCGTGACGACACACTATTTCAACTTTGTCCACCAGGCCATGCGGTTTTATTCCCACTCGAACCATCCATCAACGTATTGGATTGTTAATGGGCTGTAGTGCCTTCTCTTCGGACTCTTGTATGGGTGAACATTTTTGCGTTTGTTCATCGTAACGAGACTGGGTCTTTATGTGTTGCGATGGTTTGCGTATCTCCGTGACCCATTAAGATATGCTGGGTTGCACTTTTCAAGTGTCTTCAGAGCCGCTCATACCAAATAGATCAATGGTTAGGGATCAGAGTAACACAGTATCGCAATCCAATCTCCTTTATAGGTTAAGCAGAGGTCGATCACCCTCTTCCCATAAAACCTAACCATGAGAGACAATAGTTTTACGGTTTATAAGCTCACAGCTCGATTGGCATAAGGCATGAGCTCCATGCATTGTCGCTGAGTGTAAGAAAGCACTTTTCTGCGCTCATTAGTTTGCTACTAATCGCTGTTCAAATTGGTACAAATCCGCTAACTCCTACCTGCGGCTGCCCGTAGTCGAAGCTGCGTAACATACTTGGTATTATCCAGTTCCTGATTTGCCTGTCACTGTGGCCTCCACGGAGACAACCACAGGATGTCTGCGCCTACAGAGTGACCATGGGTTGTTTGCGCTGCACCCCTCACAGCTCCATCCACACACACCATGATCAGTGTAAACCCCGAAGGAATAAAACCGGGAGGCACGTGGATGCGAGCCACGCTTCATCAACGGAGCTGGCCCACACTACTTCAACATGCACAGTAGCAGCATTCTTGTCTATGTATGTGGGGAATCATACGTACCGGATGTACACAAGGCGGTGGCTGGGCCGTTGCCCGCTCCAAACTAGGTGCATGGAACCATTTTGAACGCAGCACGGTTACGAGGACCATACACCCCATCCCCATCAATGGTTAGCAATCTCATGGAGCCAGCAATCGTGGTGGCGGGTGTTAGATTGGTAGGCGCTTTGTCAATATTCACCTCAAGCGCAACCACACCGTGGATTTCAAACAACCTTAGCATTTGAATGCAAAACCACGTAACATGTATCAGAATAACCTAGCTGGGTAAATCAAATAAAGTAGAATAAATTTTCTTCAGGTTAAGATAGATGACTTAGTTTTAGTGTGTGAAAGCCGGTGTAGTCCAACTATGCAATAGCAACCTCTTCATACTGTACAGGTGCGTAACATACTACGGTCGTAAGACACATTTGCATTGTTCTAAATTTTTAACGCTGTGTAGCAGGTCTCAAGCAGATCCCAATGGGTCTCGGCAATCGCACTCTCGATCTGTACTTTTGTTTCTCACTACCTTGTAAGTCAAACTTTCGAGCTAAAGTTTCCGGGTCTTCTACCCCAGGCGAATCTACGTGTACCCCATCGCCTTGTGAGTCAGACTGTTTAGTCAAAACCCCTCTTGGGATGGACAGCTTAAGAGTATCCTTTGTCCTCTCAACCTGGTCGACAATACTTCCTCTTCTTCTTCCCTCTCAAGAGACTGCCACTAACCTTGCGGCTGCTGCCATCGATACATGCAGCTGTTCCACCAACTCTAGAGTCTCATTTCACATCGACCCTTCTAACATCTGCACCCTGGGTCAAATCGGCCAACAAGCAACACTAACTTTCGCCCGTCAATCACTTGTTATTCATGTGTGCTATCTCCTTGCAACACGTTTGCAAAATAACACCGTTATGACGAACCTTCGACTCCTTGCTTCTAAATCTAATGTGGTATCTGCCTCCAATTTAATGGTTCCACATACTATGGTTTCCATCTTGCCTAGACCACCGGTCCCGTTTGTGCTGGCTACTTTTATTACCTTCGTGGAACTTCATAATAATCCTGAGTACGAAACTTTACCGCTAGACTAGGTTGTTGCTGAGTTTCTACGACATATATCTACCGATTCTCTTCCGAGTGGATTGTTGTTTCTCCAATATTCTTGGAGCTATCCGCCCACAACACAAACACGTTTGTCGCATCACCTAGCATGTCGTTGGATTTGATCTGTCTATCCACCCTCCCAACCGTAGTAGCGCACACCGATTGAACTTTCAGACCGTGGTCTCCCATCTTTTGCTCGTTTAACATGTGTTAACCGTTAACCTACCACTCTGTTTCTTACCACTATACATTTGTTAGTATAGCCTTGCATCGTGCACATCACGCGAGTTTTGTGGTTTCCATAATAGAGCGTTTCAATTTCTCATTGCTCTCTAACCTCCTCCTCCTCCCGTTGCCTCCCTTGCTCGTAGATCTGTTGTGGTCAGGACCATACTCTCCTTGTCACCACTGATGGAGTTGTCTATTCAACTGGCTTGGGATCTGACGGCCAAACAGGGCTGGGGCACTTCGAGATTACAGATCAGTTCCAACCGGTCCGGAACATTCTCCAAGGCGTACGCGTCGTGTAGGTGGAGGTTGGTGCCGTTTTTTGTGTGCTACTTTATTTGCAGTTTGTACGGTCCTGTATTCATGAACCAACGCCTACCGAATGTGCGCGTGCAACCTCGGTAGCCCCACGTTCCTATGGTCAAAGTAACTCCACCTTACTTCTAAACGACCTCGTTGTCGTGTCTGTCCCACCGACCGGATGACATCCGCCTACCCGTTACAGTAGTCATTACCGTTTATCAACTAAAATTTTAACACTGGGGTGCGATGAACCAAGTTATAATATATAGTAAAATCCCGACAGCTGCTCACGGGAAGATTATTGCCGGCAATTTCAACCTACCGAAAATACAGTGCTCATCCCACCCAACATCTACGTTGCACGCCTCTTTTCTTTCTTCCATCAGAGCTGGGGGCTGGACACAGTGGATTACCAGTCCAACCAGGTCCGCCAACGTACTGAACTTAATATTCAAATTTGGGATACCCAATCCACAGACCGAGATCTTAAACAATATCCCTGGCAGCGACCATAATATGTTCCGACTTAGCTTCCAAATTAAAATGTTCACTAAACTCACCTCTGCAATGTCAGTTGCAACCCATATTATAAACTGGAAATGCTTCCAACAGTTCATTCGTTTCTCCGACTGGGATGTATTTTTCCTCTCTACGAGTGTGTACACCGCTGTGGAGCAGTTCTATAAACAAATCCATCACGCTATAGCCCTCCTTGCTCCACAACGTATTCATGCCCCTCATGTCTCCAAAGATTCCGTCGAGCACTTAATCAGCAAGGAAAACAAAAACTTAGCTGCAAGATACAGAAGGACCCATGACTTTTCACTTGTCTTACAAATGCATGAATTTACCAACAGAGTCAAACACGCGCAAGTAACACGACGAAAAAATGAAGAACATACAGCCCTACGGACAAACTGCAAAGCTAGGGAGCTTGTCAAAATACTGCATCGTAGAACCAGTGACCGCTCTCCTCTGATTACCGAAATTGTTGATGCTGAGGGTCACTTCCTCCATGACTCAGCTGAAATCTATGAAGCATTCAGTGACTTTTTTGCCACTATCTTGAGTCGCGAAGCTGATCCGGTGTCTCTGTGCACAGAGCTCACATAAACAAACCTCGTAAGCAAGATTCTATATCTTGCTCAACGCTCCATCAAGTTATCAAATTAATCAGGCCATCTTCCAAGCTGGGATCTGATGGCGCTTCACCAACCACCATTAAACTAGGAGGACCTGATATACCATTGCTTCTGATGATCATGTTCACTCTATCGCTGGAATCTGGCCACTTTCCAGATCAATGGAAAATGTCATTTATTATGCCTCGGCATAAAGAAGGTCCCAAACAAACGATTGATAACTACCGACCTATCCACCACACTCCGATAATCGCTCGGCTATTTGAAAAGCTGGTCAGAATGGAGATGATGAACTTTGTTGATTCTATTTTCCGGATCAATAATTCGCAGCATGGTTTTTTCAATAAGCGATCGTGCACCACCTGTCAACTGCATTACCTTAATTGCAGTTCAGCATCAATCGATTCCGGCTATGCAGTAGTAATCTTGTTGCTTGACATTCATCAAGCGTTCGACCGAGTACCGCACAAGCGACTGTTATAAAAGTTGGAGAACTTTGGGATCAGTGACCCATTACTAGGCTTGTTATCGTCATACCTAACTGATCATTATCAGGTAGTCACTTTAGGTGATTATCGCTCTTCCCCTCGCCCTATCACCAGTGGAGTCATTCAGGGGAGCGTGCTCGGTCCCTCAATCCTTTTGCTCTACATCAGTGGATATTATCGCATCTGGAAAACACGGTACGACATTGTTATTTGCTGACGATATCAGAATCGTCTATAAGCTTCGGCGTGACGAGCTTCACGAGACACTACTGCTCACTCAAGATGATTTACATTCCCTTGAGTCATGGTGCGGCACATGGGTGATGAACCCCACGGCTAAGAAATCACGCATCATGTCTTACGGCTGCTGTTTCCCCGAAGGATCTATCACCCTATAGCATGAACGCTTCCCTACACAGTTGTCCACGCGAGATCTTGGCATTAGGTGCTCGTCTTCATTCAATTTCTCCGAACAGGCCCAATACCAAGTAGCACGTGCCAGACAGTCCTATGTTCAATATATCAAACAAAATACACACAACTCGTGCTAGAGTTGAGCTTATCAAGCTACTCACTCGTCCCATCCTCGATTACTGCAGCATACTATACAGCAATTTGAGAAATAGTGACAGAATTGCTGTGGAGCACCTGCAAAGGTCATTTACTAAACATCTGAGTGAGAAACACTCTGCTATGAGTTATCGAGATCGTTGCAATGAACTTCAACTCTAACCGCTTTGGACTCGACGATTGAAGCACAACTTGGTGCTGCTTTTCAACATGTTACACAAAATGACCTATTCCGACCTGCCTACACTCAAGTTACAACATTGCTCAACTCGAGCACTTCGCAACAAAGATTTTACACTGAATATACCGAAGGCTAGAACGAACGTCCGCTCTAATTTCTTCCTGGTCAGATACAGCTATCTGTGGAAAATACTACCAATAACATTCAGGTCATGTGACAATGTGGCAACATTTAGTAGCAGACTCGCCAATTACTTTGATCTAACTACCCTAAGCTCTATATTCACATGGGAGTAATCCTCGATGAGCTATTCCAAGAGGGGCCCAAAAATACATAAACACCAATGCTTTCATAACTAGGCTTTGGCCTCAACCATCCTCCAGAACGTTAATACATGAAACGCATATCCCAATACTCCACTTATGCTAGTCACCCATGCAAGAGCATGGATTCTTCTGTACAAATTGATCTGTGCCGCTATAGACACAGTTTCTCTCATCAAGGGAAATATACGTATTATTATTATTATTATTATTATTATTATTATTAGTCTACTCACCACCCCGGAAAAGCACCAAACGGCCGTTTCACCTCTTTGCTTCGGAATGCCGCAGTCCGCCTATCGGAAAGGAACGCATAACAGCTTACGCTAATTAGCCAGCAGCCTATGCCTTTGATTCACGGGGGAACGTTTGCAGACTATGAAAGCGCGCAATATAACTAGGATATGGTGCAACCTACCCTTCACTGCTTACAAGTTACTAACCTGGCAGCGGACAGTGGTTGTCTTCTGTTGGCTACGACTTCAGCAATACAGTAGCAATGTATGACATAGCATTTGGAGACTGTGAGGGCGAATTCTTATTACCGGTGAGTAGAATTTTATACGAATTTCATTGATTCTTCCCAACAGCTCACAATTCAGATTGTCCAATTACCACCCTGTCAAAGCACGGGACGACCGTTTCACCCTATCACAGCTCGCCAGTAATACGCAATCTCACAGTCACCTTTAGGGAACCAAACCCATGGTCACTGGCAAATTACGCCAGCTAACTTTCAATTCATGCCGCTGAATCACGGGGCAGGGTGGCGGACCGCTATAACTTGCCAGCTGATGTGAATATCATGCGTCGGGTTTCGGCCATTGACAAAGGATCTCTGCAGAGAATAACTTGAATGTGCTGGATAAAATAAGTGCTTAACCATGAGGTTAGACATCGCGTTTTGGGTAACACAGGACTTCCACTTGACAGGCTGGTACCGCTACACGAACTGAGATGACTGGGCCACGTTTTACGCATGTCATGCGAACCGCTGCCCGGACGCGCTCTCTTCGCCTGCACAGGACCATGCTAAAAGAAATCACGCGGTGGTCAGCCCATCACGTGGCGACAAACCATTAAAACTCTGACTTCCAGTTTAGCTGTCGTAGGTCCCGTGCATCTTCCAGCCGGGCGGATCAAAGATGAAGAACACCGCAGGCTGGAAACTCTTTCGGAGATGGCGCAGAACCAGACCTAATGGAAAATGTGTACAAATGTTTGTCTTGCTTTTCTTGATTTACATCGCAAATATGGAACAGACAAAACAGGATAAGATGGTGTGTAGAAAAGGAAAACAAGATTCAAAACAAAAATCTTTTTTATAACTTCCGTTCATTTTCGTAGTCTATTTATTTATTACGTACGTTTCGTGGCTTTCGCTAGCTCTATCTTATAGACTGCTCTTTATATATATATATATATATACTATAAAGAGCATCTATAAGATAGAGCTAGCGAAAGCCACGAAACGTACGTAATAAATAAATAGACTACGAAAATGAACGGAAGTTATAAAAAAGATTTTTGTTTTGAATCTTGTTTTCCTTTTCTACACACCATCTTATCCTGTTTTGTCTGTTCCATATTTGCGATGTAAATCAAGAAAAGCAAGACAAACATTTGTACACATTTTCCATTAGGTCTGGTTCTGCGCCATCTCCGAAAGAGTTTCCAGCCTGCGGTGTTCTTCATCTTTGATCCGCCCGGCTGGAAGATGCACGGGACCTACGACAGCTAAACTGGAAGTCAGAGTTTTAATGGTTTGTCGCCACGTGATGGGCTGACCACCGCGTGATTTCTTTTAGCATGGTCCTGTGCAGGCGAAGAGAGCGCGTCCGGGCAGCGGTTCGCATGACATGCGTAAAACGTGGCCCAGTCATCTCAGTTCGTGTAGCGGTACCAGCCTGTCAAGTGGAAGTCCTGTGTTACCCAAAACGCGATGTCTAACCTCATGGTTACGCACTTATTTTATCCAGCACATTCAAGTTATTCTCCGCAGAGATCCTTTGTCAATGGCCGAAACCCGACGCATGATATTCACATCAGCTGGCAAGTTATAGCGGTCCGCCACCCTGCCCCGTGATTCAGCGGCATGAATTGAAAGTTAGCTGGCGTAATCTGCCAGTGACCATGAGTTTGGTTCCCTAAAGGTGACTGTGAGATTGCGTATTACTGGCGAGCTGTGATAGGGTGAAACGGCCGTCCCGTGCTTTGACAGGGTGGTAGTTGGACAATCTGAATTGTGAGCTATTCGGAAGAATCAATGAAATTCGATATAAAATTCTACT